GAGTTTCATCTGCATCTTGAGATTGTTCAGACATGCACTTAATGTGACTATAAAGGAGAAATCCAAGATTACATTAAACTAATAATTATTTGTTTGTGTTTGGGGAGATATTATTAGGAATATTAGGAAATCCTATATGAAATCTACATCTCAGAGGGGATTTTTATAAACGCCAGTTCTTTTGAGATGTTTCGTGTGAACTTCTATGAACATGCTCAGTTGCCTGAAATATTCTACTTTTCACCAAGATGGCAGGTTCTGGGCTTCCACCCAGCTCCTGTGCTCATTTCTCCACCAGATCCCCCATTTCTGCCTCTCCCTTCTCACACTTCACCCCCTAATTCCCTCACATCTTTTCTTGTAGGTTTTGTTTCCAGTGCTCTCCCATGTGTTCAACTACAACTTCTTTCTCAGCTGGCCACAATTCCAGTCACCTCAATTCTTTTATCCAGTATCTCTCCCCCTACTTTGTTCCAAATTTTAATGCTGTTGAATCCTCCATGCATCTGGAAACTCTATTCTGTTGTCTACTGGATATAGTTCTCTGTGCTATACAGTAGGTCCTTGCTGTTTATCTATTCTGTATGTAGTAGTTTGTGTCTGCTAATCCCAAACTTCCAATGAGACTGCTCACTTCTTAAATTTGCTTCTCTTTCAAGTAACTTAAAAAGCAGAATAAATCACTGAATATATTTGGAAATACTCACTTGTAAATGTGGATAACATTAGTAATACCTGAGCTAAATACTTCCCTCTCTAAATATAGCATTTGTGAAAGAGCAGTAGTAATCATGACAAACCTTGCCTAACATTACCTACAAAATGCTATAACATTCTTTAGTCTCTGGTGCTGTGTCACTCTTTACAGAAGATAAAATAAAAGCAATATAAAATTATCTGGACTATACATATTTATAAATGGAGCAAATTTACATAATATAGTGGTTGAACTTTACAATTTGAATACATTCCTCCATAATTGTCATGAGGAATACATAAGGTTAATTTATTCTTTAATCCACTGTCTTCTGAAATGTAGGCTTCGCTAGACTACAATTTCAATTTGAAGCATTATTAGCTTTAAAGAGCCTCATTTGAATATTTTTCATGTTAGCTGCTCTGACAAAGACTCTAATTATCTTACAAGCCAAATTAAGAAATGTGGGTGGCAAGGAGGTAGCGTTCAGATGTATTTGTCCACGACTTGACTGTCACGCCACATGAATATCAATGGTAGACAAGATGGCAGCTTTGCTGCTGTTTACATAGAGTTGTCAGGCTCTGTTCTGTTCAGGATTTATTAATGACTTGAATGAAGCCTCAGAGGGTAGGCTTATCAAAATTTAAGGTGATGTAAAGTTAGGAGCTATCTCACTGGGGAAAAAACCCCAATAGAATGGTATTAGAAACAAATCCAGAAGATGTTTAACAATAACAAGGATCAGTTCCTCCTCTGTGATTCAAAAAGGCACCTGTACAATTGCAGGGTGGGTGATGATCTGGCTTGGAAGATGTTTTAATTAAAGTAACGGAGGAGGAGCATTGAATTGACCACATGTCAGTACAAGCCAAAAGTACAGTTTCATCCTATACTTAAAAATATATTAAGAGAGATCATGTTAAATGGTCTTAATACATAATTGAAAAGAAAATGCTCTGTCACAGGAAGAATTTAGACACACTGCCTAACTTCACCCAGCTTCATAATTTCCATCTCAAACCACATACAGAGTGGGGAGGTTATAGCTCAGTGGTAGAG